GCACCATACTTAATTAAATGAGGCCCAGATGAACATCCTGATTCTCTCTTTAAAGCATGGTTTTCTCTGAATCTCTTGGCAGGACAGTGGGGAGGGTCAATAGTTCTTGCTGAGTTTTTTCTTAATAAACACCTTAAAATCAATATCCTGTGAAAGCAACTGCTGGTTGGTGAGACTTCGGTTCCCTTCACTAAACACAGACAAATCGCACCCACTCCTGTTCAGAACCCGGCGGTGGCTCCCGGTCCACTCAGAGGAAAGCCCGCGTTCCAGCTGATGGCCCCCCCTTTTCAGCTTTATGTCCTCCCATCTTTCACACTGTCTTCTCCACCCAGTTCACCTCCTCCTTCACGTTCCAACACGTTTATGCTGAGAAAAAATCACCCCGCACGTGCCTTATTTCATTCTAACATGCCATCACACATTACTGTTGTTGCCTGGTTCATTTTGCAACTCCTCACCAGGATGTGGAATGGGATTCTGTCTGTTCTGTTTCACAGTCACTATTCCTAGTGCTCAGAACAGCGTCAGGAAGATGGTGAGGACTCGGTTCACGTTTCTGCTAAATGAGTATTAAAATCACACAGGTGATAATGGTTAAAAAGGTGAAATACGGAGTGTTATGACCCCCCGTGACTGGCATTCTGATCTGGACGAAGGACCAGGAAAAACTTTCCTGAAGAAGGACGTCTAACAGCGAATGAGTCCGGGCTAACCTAGAGCTCGCCAGGGGGCAGGCATAACGGATCCCAGGAGAGGACACAGCCTGTGCATAGTCCAGGAGGCGGGAAAGTTGTGTGACGTGAGGAAGTTCCGCTGCCCCATTTGGGCGATGAAATGACCCAAAACCCCCGAAGTGCCCAGGACACGGTGAATGCTAAAAATATCAGGCGAGCTGTTGCCTTTATCACACTCCTGTGGGCACACACGCAGGCTCTGCCCACTTGGAAAGGGCAGTAACAAAAGAACAGTACGGTCCCCTCCTTGCCACACAAGCAACTCCTGACACCAGGCCTTGGTTGCAGCTCGACTGGGGCGTAGGTGACAGACAATGAGCCACACAGATGTACGCTGTCCAGCCTGACGAGTGCTGAGATGGAAACACACGCCACGTGTGTCCTTTCCGCCCCACAGTTCCCACGTGCCGTTGTGACCCCTCCCCCTGCACTGCAGCCTCCTCACAGTCCTCAGGCCCTCATTCAACGTTTGTCCTCGTCAACAGGTTAGTTTGCATTTTTTAAATTTTATATAAGTGGAATTACACAGTATGCTTTCCTCTCTTATCTGGCTTCTTTCGTTCATCCTAATTATTTTATGAGGTGGAATTCACATAACAAAAAATTCATCATTTTACATCGTGAACAATTCAGTGGCATTTAGCGTCGTCACAGTGCTGTGCGGCCACCACATCTACCTAGTACTAAACCATTCTCAACGCCCCAGGTAAAACCCCGTGCTCCCCAGTCCCCCATCCCCTAACTCCTGGCAATACCAGTGTGAATTCTGTCTCCTTATGCCCCTTGTCCAGCGCCCATGTCCCCTGCCAGCTTGTACATCTGGTGCTCCCTCCCGTCCCAATGCCAGGGCACCCATCTGGGTCTTCAAGAACCGCGTCCGTTGTCCCCGTGCTGTGTCTCACCCTCAAGCCCAACCGAGTCTGGGAGGATGGCACCCCCACTTCACCACACCTCCCAGGGGCTCCTCCCTAAACAGATAGGTCAGCCCCTCACTCACATTCCTCACCTCAATCCTGAGATTCAAAAAAGCCCTCCTGCATGGCACCTCTAGGTCCCCTGGAACCCCTATAATGCCTAAACCCCCCAAACTTTCCAGGCTTCACAGTTTCTTATCCTGACTCTGAGCAGACCCCATCTCTCCATGGACCCACTCCACACCTTGAAAGGAGTAAAGATGTTTGGTGGGTATGTATCTCTGCCATGCTGTATGAACTTGAGTCAGTTACTTAACTTTTCTGGAATGTAGTTTTCTGGAATGTAGGAAAGTGGTGGGGCCGCTTTGAGTAGTCACATGGAGTCTAGTCCCGTGCAAGCTGGGGCCTGGGGCAGGACTCGTAAGACTTGGCTGGAACACTGCTAATGCGGTTGATAGTCAGGACTCAATAATAACCCCAAGGGACCCCTGGGGAAATCAGGCCCAGAAGCAAATTACACTCAGTGAAGCAGGCTTTGTTTCTCCCTCGAGCTCTGTTAATCTTATACCAGATAACCAGCTCGAGGCTGCGAAAGAAATTTACAAAATTCCTGGACCCTAACCCAAATCCCAGCTGGCGCCAAAATGCTTGCTCATCTTGGACCAAAGCAGTTCGGTGTGTTCCTGCCATTGTCTTTCTTAAACAACACCTATTCACTGTAAGCTTAAGTTACTGATAGAATTAGATTACCTATACATTCCTGCTACCTATCCCCCTCCTGTAACCCTCTCAATAAACACCACTGAGCACAGGGGCTCGGGGCATTCTCCTTTAGAGAGAATTGCCTTCCCCTTTCTTGGACAGCCCAGTGGTGTTTGGAACGATTCATTCCTTCATCTGCGGCAAACTGTGGGTCTTCGCCGGCCAGAGGCAGCTGTAACTGGGCAATTAGTAAGATCCCCCTTGTAGTTGTGGGCATGAATCAGTGAGTTGAAATATACAAAGTGCTTGGACTACAGCTTGGACAGAGTAAGGGTTTATAATACTAGCTATTTTTATTTTGTGTTGAGAATCCACTTTGGGTTTTCTGTAGATAATCCTCCAGTCATGACATGCAGATAATCCTACACCCAACATACAGAGGAGAAGGATGAAGTTAGAGAGCAGAGGTGAAAGTCCTGAGACTCCACAGCTAGGGGGCAGCAGAATCAGGCCAGGAAGCCAACAGAACTTTACACCAGGGACTGTCAGGCCGTTTGCAAAACAGCGCCACACCCAGCCTTTGCATCTGCCCTGGGAACGACGCAGGGCTCCCAGGAGGGCTGCCTTAATCTCCTGACTCAGCCCGCCTGGCCGGGCCCCTGCCAGCCTTTCCACTCCTGTCTTCTGCACTCCCCCTTCCGCCGCGGCAGCCCAGGCCTGCTTTCTTTCTAACCCTCACAAAAGCCAAGCTTGATCCCACCTCAGGGCCTTTGCAAACGCTCTCCCCTCTGCCTGGAACACTCTTCCCACCTGTCTTTCCATGGCAGGCTCTTTCTTTTAACTGTGCCCTCAACTCAGTGGTCACCTCCTCAGGTTGGCCCTCTCTGCTCCCAGTTCATTCACTTACTTTCACATCAGTGTCCCGCACCCAGCGCCACCTAACATTTTGTGTGTGTGTGTTCATGTGTTTGTTTAGTGTCTGTCTGTCTCACTAGGCTGTGAGCTCAACCAAAGCAGGGCCCTTACTCTTGTTGATATTCTTGTATCCCCAGCGGTGAGACCATGCCTGGCACAAAGTTCAGCTGCAGTAAATATTTGTTTACTAAAACAAGACATTTAATGGATGACCTATGACCCTATGTGCACCTTTGCTCACCTTCCTTCCCCTCTTCCTACAGGGACCCTGCTTCAGGCCACGCACAACTTCAGAGGGCGCCACTCATACAACAACAATGTGAATCCTTGGGAAGGCAGAGTGCCTCAAAGTGTACAGCTTTCACAAGTGAGGGCTATCTTTCCCTCTTCCTCTTTCACTCATTCATTCAGTCAGTAAATTTCCATTGAGCACCCACGATATGCCAAGGTAGTGGTTCAGACTCTGTGGGAGAAAAGAGAAACACCTGTGTCTGTGTGGCACATCTGAAAGTTGCAAACAAAATGAAGAGTGTATAAAAATGTCAAAAATACACACAGCATTGTGAGTCACACATTCACTTGTCTTTCTCCTCTACTCTTGTTCTTATCCATTCTTCTCTTCCTTTGCAGCCTCTGCATTCCCTGACCTAAGCTCCATACCCTTTCCCGTCTCCCTCCTACCCAGGGGGTTAGAAGTGATTTGTGCACACCTGCAAAGCCTGTTGTTAGGTATTCAGGATTTGGCAAATTGGTCGTTAAACTGTTGGTGACATCAGAGTCAGATGTGGCAGGAGTATTGGCACCTCAGTATTAAGCCATCATTATGAGACAAGATTTGTTGAGCTGTTTTTCTGAGAAGCTGCTTTTTTCGCACAGCGCTGTTCCCATCACTCCAGCAGAGAAACTGCTTTGTCAAGGAATATCCTAGTTCTTTCCTAGCTGTTTACTGTCCCTCTGCCGTACCTCAGCCCCATCCTTGGCAGCAGGAACTGGGGACTCTACACCAGTGTTGTGCTGGGAGGGGAGAGAACAGAAGGAGGATCAGAATCTGAATCCGAAGGAGAAGGAGAAGAAGCATGAGGAAGGTCATGAAAAAAAGAAATAAAAGGGAAAGCCCTACTGGAAGGAAAGAGAAAGAAAAGAGAGGTATAAATCTGTGGCAGGCAGGTTTAGGGAAGAAAAGCCATAGGGACCAGCCAAGACCCATGGCTCCATGTCCTCACGGGCAGTTGGGCCATTTCCCCACCTGGGCCAGAAGGCGGCCAGGTTGCCAGGAAAAATGAGGAAACTGCCTTCAGAAACTACCCTGGAACAAGGAGGGGGTGGGGGACTGCACAGCTGGGCTCAGGAGGAAAGAGGGCTGGGGGTCTGGATCAACAGAAGCTGGGGGTCAGGGTGCTTCCGTTTTTAACTGTTGTGAGGTCTGGAGTCTGGACTCCTGGGTCTGCGGGAGGATGGGGCTAGCAGGGTGAACTTCTGAGTCATAAAAAGAGGAAGAGCTTGGGTTTCTTGGCTTTTATGCTGGTGAGATTACAAAAAGGGTCTGAGGGAGGAGAAAGGACTCAGGTTTCTCAACCTTTAAGCTGGTGAGAATCAGAGGCTAGGCCCAGGCCTCCTTCAGCAAGGCCCTCCGCTCCCCACCCTTCCCCGGCTGCCTGGGTGAGGAGAGGTATAAAGGGGCTCAGTCTCCTGGGAGAAAGAGCAGGAGCGAGCAGTTGCTGCTGCCTTGACCATGAGCCCGGCCCTGCTGCCAGCCCTCCTGGGCCTCGCCCTGGTGCTGCCCGGTGAGTGCAGACCCCGCCTTGGAGGGGATTTCCTGGGAGGGTGGGCTAAGGTGGATTTCCTGTTCTTGTCTCAGGAGCACAGGCCCTGACCTGTCACTCAGGATCAGCGATGGCTGTGAGGAATGCAACGGAACTGCCCTTGACGTGGACCGTTGGCGAGGAGGACTGCAGGGAGGGCTGGGGCTGCCAGGACACGGTGATGCTCCTAGAGAATGGTGAGGGGGGCCCCACAGACCCCAAGCGTGACCGCCACCCTCACCTGTGCAGGCATCGCCCTCCTCCTGACGCGTCCTGCCTGCCTTCTGTGTGGAGACTCAGGAGACCCCCTCCCTCCTACCAGGAGCTGTCCCCGCCTCCACAGGAGGATCCCCGGGAGCCCAGGCACCTCCTCCCCAGCTCCCACCCCATCCACAGACCCTCCCTCTAGGCCCCGGAGTCCTGATCCTCACCCGGCCCCTCCTCTGTCATCCAGGACCCCTGGTGCTCCTAGTGATCACCAAGGGCTGTACCCAGGAGGAGGACCAAGAGGCCCGTGTCACCCAGCACCGGGAAGGCCCTGGCCTGTCCATTGTCTCCTACACCCGTGTGTGTCGCCGTGAGGACCTCTGCAATGACCTCTCCAGCACCCGCCCTCTCTGGAACCCACCTCCTCCTACATGTGAGACAAATGGGGAGAGAAGGAGGGGGAGAGAAGAGGGGCTGCGGGGAGGAGGGGAGCAGAGAGGGACTGTTCCCTTAGACCCCGCCCTGCCACCCGGCCTGTGCCCACTCCCCAGGACTCCCCCCCCCGCCCCCCGCAGCGCAGCTTCCTCTCACAGGCCTGGGCAGCCCCCAGGACTGCACCTCCGACCCTGGCGATGGCCCGGACCTGGGCCACGCTCCCTTGTCTGTGTTGTTGGGTTTGGTTCACTCGTGTTCATTTAAGGTTTTGGGATTTCCTCTTCCAAAGTGAACTTGGCCTGGAACTTTTCACTATCCTTGTCTGTATCTTAAAGTGGATTTGGGGTGATGCTCTGCCGTCTCTTCCCTTTGGGGCATCCTCTTTGTCTGGACTATATAGTGGAAGTTGTGAGTGAACTCTGTCCTGTGTCTTGTCAAGGCACCCGTTCTGTGCCTCTCCCCAGTGCCCCTCCCCAGTCTCATGTCCTCCCTTGCTCTTTCTCCATCCACATGACCTCAGTTTCCTGCACCCCAGGCCTACATGAGAGAAACCTGAGCAGGGCAAGTCCAGAGAGACTGAGGAGGTTTATTGCAGAGGTCAGAAAGGGAGGGTGGGTAGAAGGCACCAGATCCAAATGCAGTGGCAGCTCAGTCTTCCCTTCCTCCCTTCACCTCCCAGTCCCAGGGACCGTGCGGTGCCCAGTCTGCTTGTCTACGGAAGGTTGTGAAACTGCGCCAGAGGTGACCTGCCCCGTCGGGCACACACATTGTTACAACGGGATCCTGCAGCTCAGGGGAGGTGAGCTGGGACATCGGGTCCCTGCCGGCGCTGAAGGCAGGGAGGGTAGCTGAGACCGGGGGCTTGGAGGACGGTGGGTCTGGCTCCTCAGGGTTGGATGCTCCCAGCAGTGGCATCTCACCCTGTCTCTCTGCTGGGCCCCTCCCCACAGGGGGCATCGATGCCAAACTGAGAGTCCAAGGATGCATGTCCCAAGCAGCCTGCAACCTGCTCAATGAGACTCGGGGTATCGGGCCTTTGTCTGTGAGTGAAAAATGTACTACTAACGGTGAGTCTATATCCTTAAGACAAGGCTGTGCCCGGCCCTGCAGCCTTGGGATACAATGACCCTTGTGAAAGTCTAGCATCCAACACATCCCACAAACACTAGCTCTACGAGCAATTTAGAAGTTTATTACTCATTGAGGCATGTATAATGTGAGAGATTGTCCTGGTAGGTGCTTTGGGGTGAGGATGCCAGTACACAGGGTCCAGCTGAAGCGGGGAGAGAGGACGCGTCATCCAGGGGACAAATACAGGACAGGAACTCACTGATGGATATTTTAAATGACGTTGGGATTGGCCGACTAAGTGAGGGTAGACTGTATATGTGGGAGGGAGTGGGGAGCAGGGGGAGATGTCAAGTGTCATACGCAGCTGGCTGCTTCGCATTCCGCTTTATTCATTGCTTGGGGAAGTAGGTGCAGAGTGCCTGGCTCTCCTGCTGGGAGAGACTCATTGCCTTCAGCTCTATTCTCCCACCCTTGTGACCTGGGGTAGCCATGAGTCTCTTATCTTTTCTCAACCACTCTACTTACCCACCCTCACCCATCCCCCACCCATGGTACTAGAGCACCCCAGCAGCCTAGGAAGAAAAGTCAGAGAGAAAACCGAGGGTGCTACAGGTGTGACTGGGACAGCAGGAGCCAAGCAGGGACATTGTGGGGGTGTCCCCACTCACCCACACAAATGCAGCCTGACCGTGCACTGGGCAGACTCACTATGGGCTGGAGTGTCTCAGTGAGAAGCACAGGAGGCTGGGAGGGGACTGGGGACTTAGCAGAGCGGGAAGAGGGCCTTCCTGTCCGAACCTCAGTTTCCTCATCCGCCCACAGCACCCAGCCCTTAAGCCTTCCAGGGGAATGTTGAGTGGATTCAGCAGAGTCCTCCGTGCTGGGACCCCTCCGGCGAGGCTGGGAGCCTTAGGCACAGGGCCTGGGTGTCACCGACACCGAGGATTCCTGCCTGAGGCAACAGGAGGGCCAGCTCAGGACGAGAAGTGCAGGATTCCGAGGTCTCCCTCGGAGGCTGCAGAGGACTCCGGCCCTGGCCCTGCCCTCAAGGGCCTCCAGGACGGGGAGCCGAGACATCGCAGAGGCAGATGGTCACAGGGCTGTGGGGAGGGGGGTCGGGGCGCTCCGAGGGGGAGAAGAGTAATGTCCCAAGGGTGGGGCACCGAGGAGGGCTTCACAGGGGAGGTGACCTATGCGCCGAGTCTTAAAGATTAGCTGCAGTTTATTAGCAGAAGAGGAAGAGGACGTGAACAAGCAGAGGAGACAGCATGTGCAAAGGCCCGGCCCTGGGAATAAGCGTCCTGTTTTCAGACAGGGCTCCCCGGCTCCGCCTGAGAAGGTCTCGTCAAGAGGACGGGTGCTGCTGGGCCTGGGGAGTGACTGCCAGTTTTCAGGTGGACAAGGTGGGCGTGGGTGACCTCAGCAGAGCTATTCCAGCAGCAGGATCAGGGGTGCAAGGCCAGGGAGGCCGGGCATGGCCTGGCGTGTGTTGGGATGGGTGTTGGTGCGGGAGTGGGCAGGGAGGCTGGGGGCCGGGAGCTGGGGGCATGGAGCAGCCACAAAGCCAGACGGAAGGTTTGGCCTTTCTCCTGGGGCAACGGAGGCTTGGGAAGGTACTGACCATGGAGGGACAGTGTGAGTCCCTCCTTTTGGTTGATTCTGTTTTATTGCCTGGCCCTCATCCCTGGGACTACGTCACATTCATAATCCAGAAGGCGTTCCTGAAACAAATCCAGTGTAATCCACGCAACATTCCATACCACACAGACACACAGCACACAATACACATAACAGACAGAACCAGACTCACCACACTGCATGCATTCCACACAACCACATATATGCCTCCTTATACCTAACACACTACAAACCTCATACACCACACTTCATACAACACAAAAACCACACAATACATCACATGCCACTACACCACACATAAACCAAATACAGACACACAAAACTGATACCATGCTACACTTCTGTAATACACACACCCCTTATATCATACACACATACCAAACACCACGCAAACAAAGCATATACATGTCACATACTTCATACACCCCACACATACACTTCCCCACATACCATACACAGACACTACACAAATCACACATGTGCCACATAAAACAGCTACTGTGCCACAAATGAAAACTCCCAATACATAAACTTATGCTGTTAGCTTTCAACATTGGAGTCAGATCTTCGGAGATACATTTTCCTTCCCTGGTTCAGTAGAGGTCAGTTCAGCAGTTAAACATTTATGGAGCAACGGTAAGAACAGATAACAGAAACTGAGGTTCAACAAGATGTCACGGAGACAGAAGGCCATTCCTGGGTGACAGACAGGCAGCTCCTGTGAAGGCCTGGGGCTGGGAGTGAGCTGGGTGCCAGAGCACAGGTGCCCAAAACAGGCCACAGCAGGAGCCCCTTGAAGGAGAACCAAAGGGCTGGAACGAGAGCGGCCTTGCCTGGCCCCCTGAGGAACTGGGCTGTGGTGCCAGTGAGGGCGGTGGGTCGGCACAGGCAGGGGAGCGCCGCGGCTAAGAGCCAAGGTCTCAGTCAGGGAGATGTGGTCCCTCTCTGGGCTGTGCCCCTGAACCATTTTGGAGGATCCCCTCATGTAGGAGCCTCTTTCAGCAAACCCAAGGAGGGGTGGATGATTCCAGACAGTCGGGAGCAGAGGAGCACATGGGACGGCCGTGGGGCGGGCGGGGGCCTGCTGGGTGTTCCAGGCAGAGCCTAGAGGCCAGTGCAGCTCCAGAAGTGTGCTCAATAGAGAGCAGAGAAGGACATGTGGATGGAGAGGCAGGGAATTGGAGCTGCCAAAAGCTTAAGGACATAAGCTTTTATTCTGAGTGGGGCAGGGACTCATCGGAGTCTTGTGCGCAGAGGAGTCACACAGGAATGAACTTATATTTCATGGGGATTCTTCTGGCTGCTGAGTAAGTAATAGAGTAAGTGGGAAGTGGGTGTAAGGAGGGGACCCCCAGGGGACTCAGGACAAAGCAGGGCAGAGCCAGCAGGTCTTGGACACTGGTGGAGTCAGCAGAAGTGGTAGGAATGGCCAGGTTCTGGAGGTGTTCTGCATCTTAAGCCAACGGGATATCTCAATGGCTGTAACCTGGGGTGTAAGAGATGGAGATTGTTAAGAATGGCAGCAATGTTCTCCACGTGAGCGACTGCAAGACAGGAGCTGCTGTTGACCAACACGTGGGAGGTGGGGGCAGGGAGAGCGGCACCCAGGCTGGGAGGAGGGCAGCAGGAGGCACGAGCTGTGGTGTGTGAAGGGGGGAATGAGCCGTCCTCCTTCATGAGGCCGCTGTGCAGGTTACACATGTTGGTGGATACTGTGTCATCAGCCAGAAGACCTGCGTCAGGGGACATAATCTCGCTGGGTGACGGAATGGCCATTAGTGAAGGCCTAGGCTCCCGGGTTTCAGACTGGACTCCCGAGGACCTCAGAGGCCAAGGTAGATGAGCATGGTCGCCAATCACTGCCGTCCCCATGTCTCCAAGGAGCCCAGCTGAGCTAGTTATTAGTGGTGGGACACTGGGAAATCACTTCACCACTCCTCTGCCCCTGTCTTCCATCTCAAAAATGGGGAGGAGGAGGAAAATCAGACCACCTACTTTGGTGCTCACTGTGAGGCAATGAGGGAACCCAGAGGAGAGAGCTCCTCGGGAAGATTAAATGGGCAAATCCAAGGAAAGCAACCACCCCAGCTGGGCACAGAGTGAATGCTCAGCACACACACTAGGTGCTGGAGGAACTTTGTCTGGCACATAGGGTTTCTCAGTTAAAGGAATGTAGGGTGTCCGTCTATACCCCTCATTATGCAGATGAGGACCTTGAGCCTCAGGAGGGAAGGAGAGAGGGCTCAGGTTAAGAACGTTCCATCCTTCCTTCCCACACTCTGGGGGGCTTGGGAGGAGCAGCCTTCAAGGGTGTTGAGCAAGGTCCCTGCAGATGCTGGAGCAGAAGTGGTGGCAAGGAAAGGGGGCAGGGCTCAACTTTCAAAAGTCCCTTGGCAACCTGAGATCAAGTGACTGTCCTGGTTAGCTGAGTGTGACTCAAGAACGTGATCATCTTCTTAAACATGGGATCTGGAGGGAGAGACATGGCTTGTTCCTGGGCTGACACAAACCCTGTGGTTTCTTCTTTCCAGCTTTCAGGACCTGCCAAAAGGGAATCATGCTTCGGTTCAAAGAAAACCTGGCTAAGGAACCCGTGGAATGGGATGCATTTACAACTGTGAAATGTGATTTGGACGAGGTGTGTCAGGAGACACTTCTGCTCATAGATGTAGGTGCGTGGGCTGTGCACCAGGGCGGGACCACTGCACAGCGTCCTGGATCCCCCGTCCTGGATTCTGTCCCCTGTACTTCCTGCCTGATTCCAATGCCTGGAATGCTCCACCTCACTCTTCCTCTTCCTGCACCTTGCTCTCTGTTACGATCCCCACAAGTATGAGCTCAGAAATTAGAGTTTGATCACACACTCTTTATTATTTGGCCAAGTTTTACCTGCGCAGGGGCCACCTTTCCCTCGAAAGGAAAAAGGCGCGCCGCTGTAAGGGTACACGGGTTTTTATAAGCAGAGCAAGCAAGCAAGATACAAGGGCGAGAAGTGGCAGTTAGCGATAGGCAGCTTCTTTCTTCTTTTTTTTTGCTGATTGGGTTCAAGGCTGTTACTGGGCCCCCTACTCTGTCTTTCTCTGGTCAGGATGTTTATCTGAGTCAAGGCTCAGCCGTTGTCCTATCTTATTACTAAGGGGGGCTCTAATTCTTCCCTTCATCTTGGGGTATTGTTTGTTCTAGTTTCTTGTTTCGGCCCAGGCTTGACCTAGTGTTAAAGTTTGGCCCCTTCATTCCCCCCTTTTTCTTGTTCATCCTTTGTCAAACCCTTGACTCAGTGTCTTCTGTGGTTAGTAGGGTATAGGGCTGGGACAGTACCATCAGTTTCACAACCTCTATACGGTCCCGCACAAATGCTATGAGCTTATTCAATATTATTGGGCCAAACAGCAGGATTAGCAGGAAGATTAGGACCGGCCCAGCTAAGGCCGACACTAGGGTAGTCAGCCAGGGTGAAGCTTTAAACATGGAGGCATACCAGGAGGAATCACCTTCCTCACTATCCCTTATCACTCCCGAGTGGTTGGCATAAAAGCAGCATTCTTCTCCTAAAGCAGCACAAAGCCCTCCCTGCTTCAAAAACAGAAGATCTAATCCTCGCCTATTTTGGAGGGCTGCTTCTGCTAGCGAGTCTACTTGCTTCTCTAGATATATTACCTGCTCTTGTAGTAGGGACACATCCTTAGAGAAAGTTTGTGACAGCTGTCGTAGACTCATTTCTCCCTGCACAAGGGCACCTGCCCCTAGGGCAGCAGAGCCTACTATTCCGATTGTAGCTACGATGGGGACAAGCAGGGGGACCCTCTTAACTCGAGGGGAGGGTTGTGGCAGGAAGTTGGAATCTCCCCCATATAGATAAACTTGGGGAATGATATAGGCACTAACACAAATATCAGGGTTTATGGGGGCTATGCATTTCATGACTCCTCTTGTACAAGCAAACCATAGCCCTTCCTGAGCCTTTAGAATCTCAGGTTCCTCATCTCCATGTCCTTCCACTCTTCCTTCCACCATACTCTTATTCCTAACTCTACCTGGTACTAGTCCAGTGTTTCATTCACCCTCTCACTTTCAAAAATTTACACCTATTGCCTACCTCGAACCTATACCTTTCTCAGAACCTCACAGTTCCCACCCCACCGCCGGTCCTAGTTCTTCAGCTCATCTCGCTCTGCACTAGTTCACACCCTTGTCACGTCTAGCTCTTAATCACTCTCTCCCCTCTGCTCCTAACTATTACCCCAGCTCTGCCCCTCCTAGCCGCCTACTTCAACTCTTACCTCAGTACCCCTCACCCTACCACCATCCCCTGCAAAGCTTCCCCCTTCAAACCCTTGCTCTTATACCTAACCCCAGGATCCCTCTTTCAAGCCTTGGTCTTCCTAACCTCATTCCTTGCCCAGCTTCCTTAACACCTACCCTGGTTTTTGCCTCCTTCCTACCTCCTCGGCTGGTTTCTTCTCCTGCCTTCTAACCCTTTCTCCCCTTAATCCTCATCTCGTTCTTCGCCCGTTCCCCGCAACAGCCCCCCAAGCCCTCCTTCTCCTCTTCTCCTCAAAGAATTCTGATAAATTTGTTCTGAGTGAAACTATCCTCTCGCCCCATGTTTGGTTCTTGGCAAGTACAGTTCCATCCTTCGTCCTTATTAACACCCATTCCCGGAGCTCATACCCACTCGTTTCCCAATTTAGTCCAATCAATATTAAGAGCAGGTAAAAGAGAGCCGGAGAGGCTTTCCTGGGTCCTGTCGAACTCTCCATGGTTTTTCTTCACTGGGGTCCTGAGCTGGCTTAACGTGGGAGAGGTGTATCCAGTAGGGTTTCTCAGCCACTCGAACGGCAGTCGGGGTGCTTAGCAGTACCTGGAATGGCCCGATCCACCTGGGTTCAAGGCTTCCTCGCCGGTGGTTCAGGATCCATACCCATTGACCGGGGTTCAGTGTCCTTAGTTCGCCAGCGCCGCCTCTTTCATTTGCCTCCTTTTCCTCCCTTCGTAGGCTCCGGACTTCTTCTCTGAGGGCCTGCAGTGCCTGTAAGGACTTTAGAAAGTTATGATTAGAGGCCTCCATCTCCTCTCTAGTCAGCTTGGGCACTAGTGGCACAGGCTGCCCGTACACGATTTCATAAGGCGTCCACCCTCCTGTGTACGGGGTACATCGAGCCCTAAATAAGGCGAAGGGGAGCAATTCTACCCAGTTCTTTCCGAGCTCCTCCTTTAATTTAATTAATGTTTCCTTCAAGGTCCGATTCATTCTCTCTACCTGCCCTGAGCTTTGGGGTCTATACACACAGTGCAATTTCCAGGTTATGCCCAATCTCCCGGCTAGGTTTTGGGATATTTGGGATACAAAGGCAGGCCCGTTATCTGATCCAATAGCCACGGGAATGCCATATCTGGGAATTATTTCTCGGACTAAGATTTTCCCTACCGTGGCTGCCGTTTCACCCTTTGTGGGGAAGGCCTCCACCCAGCCCGAGAAGGTGTCTACTAGAACTAAGAGGTATTTGTATCCCGATTTCCCTTTTGACATTTCAGTGAAGTCAACCTCCCAGATCTCTCCAGGGGCATTTCCCTTATGCCTGATAAATTGAGGGCATTTTTGATTCTGTGCGTTTACCCTGGCGCATGTCTGGCATCCGGACACTACAGACTCTATAACCTCCCTTAGATTAGGAGCCCTGTAATATTTTAATATTAACTTTTCTAGTTTTCCCCGCCCTAGGTGTGAGCTCGCATGCATTTCTCGGACTACATGGGTTAGCACTCCCTGGGGCAGGTAAAGCCTGTCATCCGGGAGCACCATCCAACCTCCTTTGTCTACCTTTCCCCCTAGCCTCCTCCCTTCTACTTCCTCTCCCTTACTATAGGTAGGCGGGGAAGGTAGCACTGGGGTAGGCACCATGGGGAGTACTCCTGCAGCCTCCTCTCCCGCCGCCTCTTTGGCCGCCAGGTCAGCCAGGGCGTTACCCCTCGCCACGGGGTCACTTCCTCTCTGGTGCCCTCGGCAGTGAATGATGGCTACCTTCTTGGGCATCCACAGCGCATCCAGCAGTTCTAGGATTTCCTGGCGATTCTTGATTCCCTTACCTCCAGCCGTCAGTAGCCCGCGCTCCCGATAGATGGCCCCATGCACATGGGCTGTTGCAAAAGCATACCTGCTGTCCGTGTAAATGTTGACCGTCCTTCCCTCGGCCATCCGGAGGGCTTGAGCGCGACCAACTCTGCTCTCTGGGCCGATGTCCCCTTGGGCAGAGCTTGTTTCCACACTACTTCATCCGCCGTCGTCACTGCCGCTCCAGCATACCTGTGTCCATTACTTACAAAACTGCTCCCATCCGTGAACCAAGTCAGATCAGCACCTTCATAGGCCTGGTCCTGCAGGTCAGGCCGTGTTCCGGCTACCGTTTCCAGGACATGGGAGCAGCAATGAGTCACTCCCGATTCGGGGACTGGTAGCAAGGTGGCCGGGTTCAGGGCAGTCGTCTTAAGGAATCTGACAGCCGGGGGGTTCAGGAGCTGTGCCTGATATTGGGTCAGTCGTGCGTTGGTCAACCAACGACCAGGCGGTACATGGAGTACTTGCTCGACATAGTGTTCCCCGACTACTTGGATGTCTTGCCCCAAGGTTAGCTTACTCGCCTCCTTCACCAGGACTGAGGTAGCTGCTATGGCCCTCAGGCAGGCTGGCCATCCTGATGCCACCGGGTCTAGTTTCTTTGACAGGTAGGCCACCGGTCTTTTCCAAGGGCCCAGGGTTTGGCTCAACACTCCTAAGGCCATTCCTTGTTTTTCTGCCACATAGAGGAGGAACGGTTTGGCTGGATCGGGCAAGGCCAATGCCGGGGCCGAGACAAGAGCTTCCTTCAGGGCCCGAAACGCCTTCCGCCCCTCCTCAGTCCAGGCAAACTCAGTCTCTTTCCCCTTTGTCATGTCGTAGAGGGGCTGTGCAAGCCTGGCGTACCCCAGGATCCAGAGCCTACAGTATCCCACGGCTCCTAGAAATTCTCTTCACCTGCCGTTTGGTGATTGGCTCTGGTATCCCTAGGATAGTCTGGACCCTTAGCTCAGATAAGGTTCTTAATCCTCCGCTCAGGTCATACCCCAGGTAGCTTACCTTGGTAGACACGATTTGTGCCTTCTTGGCTGAGACCCTGTATCCCAGCCTCTCGAGCTCCCTCAACAAGTCCTCTGTTGCCTGTTCGCAATCACTGGCGTGGGACGCAGCCACGAGAAGGTCGTCTACGTACTGTAGGAGTACTACCTCGGGGTGTTTTCTCCTGTACTCTTGTAGATCCTGGCTGAGAGCCTCGTTAAAAATGGTAGGGGAATTTTTAAAGCCCTGGGGCAGCCTTGTCCAGGTGTACTGACCTCCCAGGCCATGCTCAGGGTCATTCCATTCAAAGGCAAAAATTTCCTGGCTCTGGGGTGCCAGTGGGATGGAAAAGAATGCATCCTTTAAGTCTAAGACCGAGTAATATTTGTGGGTAGGAGACAAAGCACTCAAAAGCGTATAAGGATTTGGCACTGTGGGATGTATTGTCTCTACCCGGGCATTCACTTCCCTTAAGTCTTGTACAGGGCGGAAATCAGATGTCCCAGGTTTCTGCACAGGCAGCAGGGGAGTATTCCAGGGGGACTGGCACTTCTTCAGAATTCCAGAGGCCAGTGACCGCAACAAGTGCTTAGCTATCCCCTCCTTGGCTCTGGCGGGAATCGGATACTGCCTGATTCGCACTGGGGTGGCTGTACTCAATAACTGGACTACCACTGGCGCCTGATGTACTGCCAGTCCTGGGGGGTTGGTCTCTGCCCATACCCCAGGTATCTTTTCCCAGAGTGCCTGGGGAACTCCAGTGCAATGAGGCTCGGCCTCACTCACAGCTAGCAGGTACTCTTCCGACAGGGGAACAGTAACTTCTAAGCTGGGGTTCCCCTTCTCTTCCTCGGGTGTCTTGAACACTATGGAGACTTGCAACTTTTGAAGTCCCTTCCTAGCAGAGGGTAGGGGCAATCCGGTATAATCAGAAAAGAGTGAGTGATTGTCCCTTTTCCAAGGTCCGTAATTCTCGCACTTGTCCAAGGATAAGTCTCTGATTTCCCGGTGGCCCCTATAATTTTGGCTGTCTCCTTTTCTAGTTTTCCTTGGGGCTGCTTCAGGACAGAAAAGGTGGCTCCCGTGTCGACTAGGAAATCAACTGGTCTTCCTTCGACTGTCAAGGTGACCATGGGCTCCCGGGAGCCAATGCTTATGGAGCCCTGGCCCCGTCAGTCTAGGGTCTGCAGGAGCACCCCAGGGGTCCCCCTTAGCTTCTCTATCCCCTTCCTCTTGGGGCATTCCCTCTTCCAGTGCCCCTTCTCCTTGCAGATGGCGCACTGATCCCTCTCTAGCCGGGCTCCCCTCCTCTCTCTGTTCCCCCTACCGGGGTTCCCTCTGGGTGCACCTCCTTTTCCTCTGCGCCGCTATCAAAATTTTTGCTACTTCCCTAGCCTTCCCAACCTCTGGGTCATCCCTGTTGACATATACCTTTTGGGCTATTTCTAGCAGTTTACTGATATTCTCTCCCTCAAATCCCTCTATCTTCTGCAATTTCCTCCTTATGTCCGTGGCTGATTGCGTGACAAAGGCTATGTTTACGAGTCTCCTATTCTCCCTTGCCTCTGGGTCTAATGGGGTATATACCCTATACGCCTCCATTAATCTTCCCAGGAATGCGCCAGGGGTCTCATCTCGTCCCTGCACTACCTCACTCACCTTCCCAAAATTTGTGGGCTTGCGGGCTGCTGCCTGCAATCCCCTCAGAAGAGCTCGGCAGTACTGCAGAAGTGCCTCCCTTCCCCCTCCAGTGTTCGGATCCCAATGCGGCGGGGGTGGGGGGGGTGATGGAGGGGAGTATTTCCTCCAACTCCCTTCTTCCTCCCACTGTCCCTTCCTCCTCCCCCATAACCGCCTTCCCTGCTTCCCTCAGGATCCTTTCCCTTTCCTCAGACGTAAACAGGGTCTGCAATATCTGCTGGCAATCATCCCATGTGGGTTGGTGGGTCCGGAATATAGTTTCCAGTAGGGAAATCGAGCCCTGGGGTTTCTCAGAGAATGGGGGGGTTCTGGTGTTTCCAATTGTATAGATCACTCGTGGAAAAGGGGACATAGATTAGCCTAGGAGGCGCCCTAGGGGCGTCCGGGGCCGTGGGCGCCTCTCGGAGCAGTAGCAGGGCCGGCTCTCTAGAGTCCGGAGCGCGCCGGCCTTTCTGTCCCTCACCACTGTAAGAGGTCCCTCCCCGGGTGTGGGGCGGACTAACAATTTCCCCGGATTGCTCGGAGGAATCGGGTACCGCCAGGGCGGGATACGGTGGTGGGGCGTTAACAGGATCTAAGGGGTCCCCGGGCCGGCCTGGCAGGACTGGATACGGCCGGTTCCCTTCAGGTCCCGATGACGGCTGGGGCTCAGCACTCCCCCTTCTGCTATTTCCTTGGGGGGCCTCTCCTCTCGCCCAATCCAACGGCTAAGCACACCGCTCTACCCCTCCTGTTTGTCCCTGCCTGCCCTTGGCTGCACTTCCGGACGTAGCCCGGCCTATCCGTGGCAATATCCGTCCAGACATTGATGTAGATTTGCTGGTCCGGATGAGGCACCACACAGGTGACTCGTTGGACCGAGAAACAAATTGGCAAGTGGAAAGTTCCCTCAGTCGGCCACCCAACATTAAAGGTGGGCCACTCAAGCTGGCAGAATGCTCGGAGGGCCTCCTGGTCGGGCGGATTCCCTCCATAGCGCTCCGCCCGCTTTCTGAAATCAGAGAAGTTTTTTTCAAGATGCAATCCAAAGGTGAACCCTCGACCGCTCCCGTGGATCCCCCTTGTCCCATGTCTTTACGTATTTGGGTCCAAAGATCGTGACTTATGAGACCGAGGAGGGTCAAGATTAAACACGCGGCCAGGCTCCACACCACTCTCTCACTTACGCCGTTCACTCTTCGGCCGGCCTCACACACGCACATTTAGGAGACGACTCAGACAGACGGGAACGATTAAAGCACTTTCACTTTCGCCGGCCTGGCCTCTCCTCTCGCGAGGGACTTGGGTCTGTCTTAGCTAAGGCTGCCCGAGTAGAATCCGGGTTACCTCCCAGCCGTTATGCCATATGACAGACCGAGGACTCGCAGGTTGGGGCCCACTCAGACTCCGTAGGCTCGCTGTCCCGTGGAGTCACACAGACTGGCACTCGCTCACTCACACGGCACTTTCGCATGCGCTCCCGTACCCGTTTCTTCCCGCGCTGCGCACCAAAACCGACCTCAGGCGACCCTGTCGCGACTCCCGAGGGCGTCCCCTCCTTGGGAGCCCCCTGGGTGGACTGCCGGTGACGTCTCACCTACCACCTCAGGGCTACAAAGGCTAGCCTTTCCTTCCCCTTAAGAGAATTCTCAGTTTAACTCACCCAACTCGAGCTGGTCCCTTTGATTCCCGTCCTTTTACCCCACAAAAGGGGGAATCTCGCTGGGGCCTCCAAATGTTACGATCCCCACAAGTATGAGCTCAGAAATTAGAGTTTGATCACACACTCTTTATTATTTGGCCAAGTTTTACCTGCGCAGGGGCCACCTTTCCCTCGAAAGGAAAAAGGCACGCCGCTGTAAGGGTACACGGGTTTTTATAAGCAGAGCAAGCAAGCAAGATACAAGGGCGAGAAGTGGCAGTTAGCGATAGGCAGCTTCTTTCTTCTTTTTTTTTTGCTGATTGGGTTCAAGGTTGTTACTGGGCCCCCTACTCTGTCTTTCTCTGGTCAGGATGTTTATCTGAGGCAAGGCTCAACCGTTGCCCTATGCCTCCTCCTCATTCTTGTCGACTCTGGCCCAGCTGCATGGGGGCTGCACCCTGATATGTTTTTCTTGGTATTAGTTCCTCCCTTATCCTCAGCTTTGACCCTGCTTTTACGGGCTGTTTATCTGAGTCAAGGCTCAACCGTTGTCCTATCTTGTTACTAAGGGGGGCTCTAATTCTTCCCTTCATCTTGGGGTATTGTTTGTTCTAGTTTCTTGTTTCGGCCCAGGCTTGACCTAGTGTTAAAGTTTGGCCCCTTCACTCTCCTCTTCTGAAAACTGGGTGCTAGGTGTTGGCAGTCATGCTACTGTCTTGGGTCATCATGAAATATTTGATAATCCACGCAAAGGTGTGAGAACAGGGCTGATGCAAGTAACAGTGACATTGAGCCTTACTGAGCACCTGTTGAGGGCCAGGCTCTGTAAAGCATCCCATCTGTAAATCACGGGGTTTGCCTCCCTGCACATTTATGTGGCGGGGAGGAAAAACAAAATCCAGTAGTGAAAGGAGATGCACAGAGGGAGGTGAAGGTTGCAGTTTGAAAAATGGGAGCTCCGGAAGGCTTTACTGAGAAGGTGACATCTGAGCAAGAACTGAGAGGGGACAGAGCTGGGGGAGGGCCCAGGCTCGGGCTCCTCTCGGCCCGGCCTGCAACGGCCTATGCTCCTGTACCCAGGGAACCCGCTCTCACCCTCTGCCTGCTAAGCCTCCGGGAATCGCTGACTCCTGTCTCCCTCTGAGCCTCCTGTTCCTCAGCCCAGCTCTCACTGTCTCCCACCCCCGCCCACAGGACCCAGATCACTCATTGTGGGGAGCAAAGGCTGCGGCAAGGCTGAGACACCGGATTCCCAGACTGTGTCCATCCACTCGGGGCCCCCCGGAGTGCTCGCTGCCTCTTATACCCATTTCTGCTCCTCCAATGGGTGCAACAATGCCAGCAGTACCAGTGTCCTGCTGAACTCCCTCCCTCATCCAGGTAGGACCCAAGGGGCTGGGGGAGAAAAGGGACATGGAGAGATGGGGCCCCAGGGACAAAGAGTCTCTGGGCTCAAGGAGGGTGGCTCCAGCTTGGAGCAGCTGAGGTTCAGCTGTGCACCAAACCTCTTTCTGCCCCATAGCTGCCCCTGCCCAAGGAGACCTGCAGTGTCCCGCCTGCGTGCAGTTAGGTGGACTCTGTACAGGCTACAAAAATGTCATGTGCCCCAAGGGCACCACTCACTGTTATAAAGGTGACATCAGTCTCAACGGAGGTGAGTGCTGAAGGCCAGGCCCCAAGCATGAAGGGGTGGGGGCCTGGATTCACTGCAGCTGTTGTGGGAGGGCTCTTGAGACCCCAGTTCCTGGGCTCGAGGGTGAAGGAGGCCAGGGACCCTGATTTCCAGGGTGGGGAGGCTTAAGAGCCAGATCTCCTGGTCTGAGGTGGGGAGTGTTAGGGTCTGGGATTCCCGGGCCTTAGGAATTTAAGTGTGTACTACTTTGAGACCCCGCTGACTCAGTCTTCACTCTCTAGGTGGGCTGTCCTCCCCACTTAGCATTCAGGGCTGCATGGCCCAACCTTCCAACTCCTTGTTCAGGCGCACCAATAGGATTGGGCCGTTCATTGTAGCCGAGTTGCCTAAGGATGGAAATAAGGTTCTCCAAAGTGGGGCTGCTCCTGCCCCCTACCTGGCTCAGGTGGTGGGGCTGGGGCTGTCGCTGGCCCTTTGGTGTGCGGTGACCTCCCTGCTCATACTATTTCCCTGTGATTCTTAGTCCCTGTTGACCCCTAAACCCAGCCCTCCCTCTGACGTCATAACCAAACACTAAGTTGTTTCCCCGTCTTCTCCATGGATTCTCATCTACACGCACACCCACACACTTTGTGACCTGGTGGCAACATATGGAAGGGCCTGGGAGCAGCTGAACTGGCCCCGTGGGAGCTGGACACTCAAAGAGTGGCCACATGTGTCTGAAAAATAAAGGCATTGTCGTTTCTCCCAGTGCTGGGGTTTCTCTATGGGAGGGGAGGGCAGGGCTTGCTGAGATCGGGGGTGGGGAGGAGAGCAGCCTGGGGAGAGACGCTCCATCTCAGGCCCGTCCTTCGCGGGTCTGGTGCACATCTCTGTTCCAGCCGGGGTGGCAGCAGAGGCTTCGGGGCGCTGCAGCTGCAGGTCCTTGGGCATCGCCCTGACCGGGGAGGGGAAGGTGCACTTTGACCAGTGGGGCTCCCACTTAGGAGCCAGGCTCCCTGCACAAACAGGGGCCTCATCCCACCTGAATCCCTCCACATGTGGGTTTGTGTGAAGTGAAAAAGCAAGAGGGTGTGCAGTTTCCTGAGGCTGACGTCACAGGGCCTGCTGCTGCCCTAGGCCCGAAGGCCGAGGAGGAGTCACTCCTGTTCCTAGGTCCCGAGGCAGGGAAGAGGGTTAGAGAGGCTGCCTGGTGGGAGCTCTGACCTCAGGCCGGGCGATCCGACTGGCCCACAGCAACACACGGGGCAGGGGGCTGGGGAATGGGTGGCCCGGGGCCGCGCAGTGTCCACCCTCTGGTCTCCTACTGGAGCTCCCTATTCACTGCACCCACTTGGAAGGCAGGAGGTCCCATTGACACAGTCCCCAGAGACCTGCCCCCAACAGCACAGAACAGCGGGGAGGGGGGAGAGCAGGAGTCTGGAAAAGGCAACGGAGTGTCCACCGCAGTCTACCCTTCCGCCTTCCACACTGACTCCTTCCTTTGTCCGGCTGGAAATCAGCGTCTTCAACATAGGAGACAAGCAATTCTTATCTGCTACTTAATCATGGCAACATGGCGTCCTGATGACAATTTGAGGACCAGTGTGTACCCACCCCCGTGAGAGGAGGATGGGGGCGGGCAGCTGGAAGTGTCCTGGGGGTGGAATCAGAGCTACCTTCTTCCACCACCCACTCCGCATTCTCTCCCCACCAGCCAGCTTCTGCTCTGGACATTTCCGTGGGACAGTTCTTATGGGAAGGGAGTGTCTGATGGTCTTGCCTCCACTGAGTTTCTGTCTCTTTCCACTGCACAGGGCCTCTGGCCAATGAAATATGAAGACTTCCCCCAACAACTCTCCTGACTCCCAAATGCAGTTTTCCTTGGCCCAGCAACCCACCCTCCCTCTGGTAGCAGGTGCCGTGGGGCAATCAGCAGAGTGACCCTCTTCTTTCACCATTTCAGCCGCAGAAGGAGCACAGAGCGGCCAGGGGGCAGCTGTGGCTCCCCGGCGACTAGAACTGCGGTGGGATTCCTCGCCCACACTAACATAAACCTGCTCTGTGCTCGCTCCCCTCTGCTAGTGGGTCACTGGAGATGCCCAGGAGCCCACGGGTACGGGTGGAGAAAGGGGCAGAAGGAACAGGGGCCATGGGAGTCGGAGGCCCCTGCTGGGGTGTTCACAAGTGCCTTCCGTTCCTGTCTGAGCAGGATCCCACACACACATGCTTCATGGACATGGGCACTGCTGGACATGTCTAATGTCGTGCTTTGGTGGCTCCGACAGCACCCAGCATTGGCAGTTCAGATCACAACGCCCTTGACGCCGCGTGGTCTGGAATCCAGTCTCTGCTGGGATCCAGTAATGAGTTCAGAGCTGCTCCAAAACCCTAAAGTTCTACACTGTGACTATCCTTATTATTTCTTGGTCACAGAAACTTTTAATGGTGTTGTGTCTGTTGCATTCTATGGCCCGAGATTCCAGACACTTAGGTTTCCAGCCTGAACTTTAATCAGAGCCCTTTTCTGCTTGGGTTTATAAAAAAGACCATCTTATATGTTCCTTGGCAAATGAGCAGGAGCAAAACGTGCTACATCCCACACACACCGCCAATATTCTAAGAGACATGTCTCTTTTCTAAAAGCAGCTGAGTAAGAGGAGCACATTGTCTGTCAGTTTGGAAGGAAGAGCTGGATGTGCCCAGACTTACAGCATTTACACCAGTGAACTGGGTGCGGGACGAAGCACAGCTTCTCTTCCACCCACTGCACAGTCTTATTTCTGATTCATCAAGGGTGCTTGCTGCATCGTGTTCACTGTGTCTGATTAAAACACATAAATTCATCGATGAAGTGGACCAGTATGACGTTCTGGAGAAAATCAGATGATCAGGGTTTCTCTGGAGCACATGATAGGAGAGAGCAAGCGAGAGGACAAAGAAAAGTCACCAGAAAGTTGGGGTGTACTCTTGTCCCTGAAATGTGAACGTAAATCATTATCTCTGCCCAACAAACAGAAAAATGAACGGTCTGATCAGTGGCCCCTGAGAAACCGCGCCCCGAACTGCCGCTGCAATTGTCATCACCACGTCACATTTGCCGTAACTTGTCATGGCCCAGACCCTCTGCTGTGACCAAACAGGCGCATCTAATGGAGGTGGTGTAACAACCTGCACCCTCCACCTCTCAAGCGTTGGTGTGGGCGCTAATCTCAGAAATTCCACCAGGGATCCATTACTGCTTCCCATTTTCTGTCTTGGTAGGATGGCGATAGCATCAGAAGCATCCTTGGGCTTTTCCTACCGCAACAGCCCTCGCTCCATAGGTCAGATGACTTGTGTGGGGTTTCTCCAGTTGCCGATAGTTATTGCATGTTCTGGGATGACATAAACAAGAAGATGAGCCTGAACCCCACGGAGCCCACAGGGAAAAGGACTTCACCAAAAGCCCATCTGTGCCCTGACCTGGTTCACACTGGGGATCAGCACCCATCCACAGCCACCATGAAGGAAAACAAAAAGACCGAGCATTCATTCCTTTTGACCAGTGCCCAACGTCCTCCGATCTATGGCCCCTCATCTCTCTGCTGTGGGGGAAGATCCACTGTGTACATCCATGGTTACAGGGTCCTTATCAAATGGGCCAGCCGCCCTTTTCATTCATGGGGTTCCAGGTCTGAGAGCTGGCTTAGTCTGGGACAGGAAGTCACAAAACCCTACATGGCAACCCAGGTCCTATTTCTTCCCATCAGAACCAGAAAGTTAGCACCTGTATCAAGCAGCACTTTCGTAGGTTCCCCACTGATCTCACTTATAGTGCCTGCCTGGTCATTTAACTTTGCCCCAGATCCCAGCCTGTCAGGACTCCCCGATGACCTTTCTGCTCCATGGCTTGGTTCAGTGACTCTGCCACTTTGTTCTGCCTGACCAGAGTCACTGCTGTGCCCCTCCAGGACCCTTTCTTTCCAAAAGTCCCATCAGCATCTTCTGCCTCAAAGGTGAGCCGCCACACAGCTCTTGGTTTTCCTTCCTCTTTCTTTCTTCCTTTCTCTCTCTCTTCTTTCTTTCTTTCTTTCTTTCTTTCTTTCTTTCTTTCTTTCTTTCTTTCTTCTCTCCTTCTTTCCTTCCTTCCTTCCTTCCTACTTTCATTCCTTCCTTCCTTCCTACCTTTGTTCCTTCCTTCCTTCCTACCTTTCTTTCTTTCTTTTTTGGACATGTCAAATATTTAAAATGAAAAAAGTCATTTTAGGTTGGAATGATGATTGTGTTGTAGGGATCTTTGGAAAGGTCAGCGATTTCAGGGAAATAGAGTTTAAGAAATTGTAGACTACACTATTTTAACTATATCAGCAAACATACCACATTGATTTCCAGAAAGTCCCCAGGGCTTGCATTGAACAAGGGACATCCTTATACCTAAGACAGACTGACTGGATGTAATTTTAAGACTGCAGTGATGCTGACTTCATCAACACCCAGTCTTTTACAACCTCTAGTCTGTGAACATGCTCCAAGGAGACAGCAATGGGACACATATTTTGAAGGTACCCTCCTACCTTTCCCCTGCCTTTTATAACTTTGGGTATCACAAAAGCAGCTATCATCCAAGGTTAAATCTCTAGAGTTTACCTGGCCCCTTTTGCTGTTACTGGATGCCCAAGTCTGGTCAGCCCTTGAACTCTTGCTTGAAAAAAGCCTCTCTCCATTCTGTCATACTGTGTAAACATACTTCCAAGACACTCAGAAACCTCTCAGAACAACTTTATGGGGCAATGGCTATGTAATATTTGATTGCATTAGGAACAACGTTCTAAAAACCATGATTTTACAGTTAGTACAAGCTCCACAGTCTCAGGAAAGGCATCACTTTAGAAAAAATGTTATGTGTAACCATTAAGAAACTAAATTAGAGGTTTATTTATTACATAGAGAGGTTTTTTTTTCCTTTTACTGAATTTGTTGGGATGACACAAGTTAACAAAATTATAAAGATTTCAGGTACCCAATTCAATAACACATGATCAATACATAGTGTTGTGTGTTCACCACCCCCAAGTCAAATCTCCTTCCTTCACTATTTATACACCATATCTCTCTCCAAGTACCCCCCGCTCCCACCCCCGCCCCCGCCCAGTGAGCACACTTTGAGTACCCAGCTTGAGTAATAGAGGAGGCTGTGCCACTGGGTTCTACAGGACACATACTACATTAGGCCACTCTACTAAGTCTGTGAGCTATTGCAGTTCTACCTAAAACACACACAAGGAAGCTGTCTAAATGAGGAGACAATTAAATGTGGCTCAAATGAAAGAACAGAAAAAACTCCAGAAAAAATAACTAAAAAAATGGAGACGAGCAATCTGCGAGAAGCAGAGTTCAAAACGCTGGTTTTAAGGATGCTTGAGGAGCTTAGTGAGGACCGCAAGAGCATGCAAAAATCCAGTCAGAAATGAAGGATGCGCTAATTGAAATAGAGAACAATTTACAGGGAATTAACAATAGGGTGGATGAAACCAAGAATCAAATAAGTGATTTGGACTATAA